ATTCTCGACCCAAACCTAAAGCAATCAATTCTTGACTCAATTTGTTTGCATTTATTTCAAACCAATCAAAGAAAGCCGTCGTTTGAGTTCAAAACGGCTAACTTTTCAACGCTTGGATTTCCTGATCGCGATCTTCGCGTAGATTTAGCCAAACAGGAGGACACCATTGAAGATATCATTGGAATCGTGCGAAGAGCTCTTCAGCCTAAATATCAGCATTTGTCTCAACTTCAGGTAATTATCTCACATTTATTTATGAATTCTTAAGAAACTGTTTAACTAATGGTTACTCTAAACTCATTTTGTATTCATTACACCAAAAATGTTTGCCAAATGTGTGAATGATATGAACTGAATGATAGATGGATGTGAATCCATATGTGGTGAGCAGTTGGTTTCACGGGGACTATCCGACGCCTTTCATCAAAAAGAAATGGTTCCCAAACGACACACACGACCAACAATTCACATATAAGTCGACCCATTCTTTCAATATGAGAGCCGAGAAGCCGTTACCGCCTGTAAGTCGAGTATCGCAATTCAGATATAGAAACAATTGGTTTAATTGGATGTTTATTTTTAGGCCATTTCTCTCGAAGACGACATCTGTTTGAAGTCTGAAATTCCTGAATACAAATATCGTTTACTAAATTTCGGATATCCTCTGCGGCGCCAATCATTGTCTACATTACCCGGCTTTTGGAGCGACCGCTCAAATGGGTTTGATTTTCCAAACCTTATCTGTCATACAAGACATCCCTTGAAATTAAGGGAAAGAAAAAATGACAGATCTTTTGATGACGACCAGCAAGTGTTGGACGGAATGGCCATCTCATCATCGTTTGCATGGCTTCACAGTTTGGCCTCAAATCTTGGATTTTCTATTTTTCATGAATTAACGTATCCTTTGGTCACTCACGCCATTATAACCGACGGCCAGTTTTGGTCTTTCTATGTCTATCAACTCAATACACACTGTTTTCATAGCGATATCGATAATAATATGTTGCGTAATGTCTGTTGGAGTTCTGGTGAGCTTAAGCTCTTCGACAGCTATGAAAATGGACAGCTTATCGGTGTTAACGATGAAGTCCTCAAACTATTGATCAAAGTATGTTATAATGAATTTTACACATAAATTGATTATTAATTTTGTTGACAGTTTATGGCTCGTGAGCCACAAGTGAGCGATAACTGTGTTCTTCGGCCGTATTTGAGTGAAGACCAGAGGGAGGAAAGGGATAAAGAAGAACTGAGTTATTCATTGAG